AATGATGTAAAAAATTAAAAAAAAATAATAAAAAAAGAAAAAAAAGAAAAATTTGCCCTTTTCTTCTATGTTCAATTTATAGCCATAAAGGTATTCATAGTTATCATTTATGATCATATTTATTTCCAAGATGTCTATTGTAATTTCTCTTTCATTTCTGATTCTCTTTATTAGACTTTTAGCTCCATTTTTCTGAGAACTTTGCCTGTTTTGTTTATTTTTCAAAATTTTTGGTTTCATTGTTTTTTTGAACTGTCCTGTTGACTTCTATTTCTTTTTTTCCTCACTATTTTATTATATTTTTCCTTCCACAGGCTTTTGGTTTCACTTGTTATGTTTTTCTGCTTGTGAGGTGTAATGTTAGATTATTTATTTGAATTCTTTATTTTAAATTTTTTGATGTGGGCCTCTATTGCAATATGCTTCCTTTTAGTATTGCTCTTACTGGTCCCCATAGATTCTGGTAACTCATGACATTTTCATTGGTCTTCAAGTATTTTTTAATTTCTTTTTGATATCCTCACTAACTTACAAGTTTCATTTTATGCTTGATATCTAGTTTGATACCATTGTGATCACAGAAAGTACTTTAATATAATTTCAGCCATAATGAATTTATTTGATACTTGTTTTATTACCCAATTCATGGGTTAGCCTCAAAAATATTTCATGTATACTTGAGGAAAATGTGTACTCATCTTTTTAAATGTGTTGTTCATCACCTGTTGTCTAATTCCTTGTTTTGATGTATTGTTTCCATGTTGATTTTCAGTCTGGTTAATCTAACCATTGATTTCAGTGAGATGTTGAAGTTTCCTATACTGTTGTGTCTGTTTTCTTAATAGTTGCTATATATATTTTCATGTCCCTTTGTTTTTTTTATTATAAATTTTATTTTTATATTCCCCATACAATAAAAATATGGAACGCTTCACGAATTTGCATGTCATCTTTGTGCAGGGGCCATGCTCATCTTCTCTGTATAGTTCCAATTTTAGTATATGTGCTGCCGAAGCGAGCACTGTCCCATTGTTTTTTACAGTTGTTTTAATGGGTGTTATATCTTTTTTTTTGTATTTATCCCTTAACCATTACATAATTTCCATCCCTGCCTTCCCTGCCTCTTGCTACCTTTTTTTTTTAGCTGGAAGTCTATCAGATAAAAGTATGGTTGGCTCTGCCTTTTTTAGTGTACTATTTTATTGAATGATTGTTTTCCATATATTTACTTTGAGTTAATGTTTATCTTTGGAGCTTAGATGGGTTTCCTGGAGACAGCAGAACATTGGGTTTTGTTTTCTTCTTTAGTATCCACTGCCTAGTCTTTGATTGGTGAGCTCATTCCATTTACATTAAGGGTGATATGTATATATGGGGTCTTGCTACTGCCATTTTATCTTTCGTTTTCTGATTCTGTGTCAGTATCTTTGTTCAATTTTTGTGGATTTCTTTTCTTCAACTTAGATTTGAGAGCTCCTTCACTATTTCTTATAGGGGAGATCCAATGTTGTCAAAGTCCTTTAGCTTTTGTTTGTTTGGGGAGGACTTTATCTCTCCCTCATATCTGAAAGAGAATCTTGCTTGGTATGGTATTGTTGGTAGGTAATTTTTATCTTTGAATATTTTGAATATGCCATTACATACTGTTTATGCCTGAATCATGTCTGCTGAAAACATTGGATATAACTCTGATAGGAGTACCTTTATAGGTTAGCTCCTTTTCTCCTCTTCTAGCCTTCAATATTCTTGTCTTGAATGCTTGGATAATTTCACTACTGTGTCTCTTAGTGGAAATCTCATTGCATTTTCTTTTTTTCTTTCTCTTTATTTTTTTTTTAAAGATTTATTTTATTTATACAAGAGCTGGGTACAAGCCAGATTTGCGGGAGGTGAGAGGATTCACCAGAGACAGAACAGGGAACAGAACAGGCAGACTGACGAAATACATTGCAGAGGGGAGCAGCAGGCGTGACAGGAGAGGTCTGCTGTGCCATGTGGGGCCCTCGCTGGCTGGCCGGGATCAAACCAGTGCTGCAGAGGCTGGGGCCAGCTTCACAGCGCTGCACTCAATCACCTGCGCCACCAGGGAAGGCCCCTCATTGCATTTTCATAACTAGGTGGTATTTTCTGTGCATGGAATTCGTCCTTCCTAGGGTTTTCCCCTTTTTTTATTTGTTTCAATCAGGTGTCTCCCCACTGACCACCCAAATCTTCCTTATCCTAGAAACACATTATTTGTATATATCCTACTTTATATTTTACTTAATATTTTTCTCTTCTTCCACTTGGGAACTTTGTGTATTGCAATCTTTGAGTTCAGTAATTCTGTCCTCCACTTCATCTCTTTTGCTGCCATAATTTTTTCTATAAAGTTTTGTACTATGGAGATTTTGAATATCCTGAGTCACTTTGTTTTTGTATTTAAAACTTAAAATTCTGTTTTTTGTTTATCAGGTTTTTCCTCATGTCATTAGTTTTCCTGAATCTTTTTGTATCTCTTTGATTAGGTTTGTTGGGTTCTTTTTTACCACTTTGATTTGCTTTTCTGCATTTTTTCTATATCTTTACCTTCCTTTATATAGCCATTTTGAATTCTGATAAAAAGATAGAATAAGAATTTTCCATGAAGTTTGGTTGGATTCTGGAGAGTTCTGCCCTTGTAATGTCATGTACCTTGATATCTCAATATGACATATGTTATATTTCCATGTGTTTATTTTGCTCATTTAGATTTTCCTTGTTTCCAGAAGGTGGCTCTAGATGTTTTGTTTTTTATGGTTTCTGTAGGCACTGAAACCTGTTTTTGCATTTGCTGAGTTGGGGTGGGGCCTAGTGGGTTGATCCACTTGTATGAAAGTGCTATGGTGGGGGAATATGTTTTGTGATTGTGGTACTGCCATTCTTCTTCTTTCTGGTTGTATACCTGTGAATCCAGCCTCTGTATACCCTGAATGTACTGCATGAGGTCAGTACCAGTCTCTAGGTGTCAGGAGGGAGAATAATGTCCAGGACACTCTCTCTGCTATTGTTACAGAGGATCCAGCCTATGGAGGGCATTATTTCTCTTCTGCATGTATTTCCCATCAATCACAGGTGTATGCTTTCACAATGTTTAGCTCTCAACTTTCAGGGCCTCTGACAGAGGGGGCAGCCCTTTTGTCTACATCTCCTGTTCTTGACTACAGCTCCAGGTGCTTCTCTTGCCCCACCTTCTTTTCAATGAAGTTTGACTATGCCCCTCTATCTCTTTTCTGTCTAAATGTGTATTGACTTAACATGTCCAAGGAGTGTACCAGTTTCTTCCAAGTCACAGGACTCTCTGGGTGTAGTGTGATTGACTGTTACGTGATACTCTCAGCAGCAAAGTAAGGAACTTACTCTGTCTCCTTCATAGTCTTCTTTCTTCCTTACTTTTAACTTTGTTGTTTAGAGTTGTCTCTTGAATGTTCTAGATGTCATTTACCAATAATCTTAGTCATAAATAGTTCTATTTCCCTAAATTTCCTTGTTTCTACTTTTTTGTTAGCATTTACTTACACTGCACTCTGCTTAATATGAATGGAATTGAGTTTTGAAAATATTGATCAACATATATTTATAAACAAAATTAGTGTGAATTCCTCTTGCCTGTGATTATTTATTCAGTTTATATTCACCGTCCTTTAAAGTTCCAATTTAAGAAGTTCACATTTTCTGACCTATTCTCTAGTTCTGAATCTTTCTCTAATTGGCAATTTATTGTCTCTTACATATTAATAATTTATGTTCTGTAATGCATCACACACTTCTTTAAGGATTTAATATGCTATTGTTAGGGAGGGGAAAAATTTCCCCTACCCATATGGGTTTTTTGCTTGATCAGATAATCAAATGAACATCAGAGAGATCAGTGGGGGGGAAAAATTACATACTTATGGGATTCTACATAGACATGCACTCTAATGTCCACGAGGAGAAATGAGGATTTGTATTCTGAACCACGCAATAGAATTGAGGCCTGGGGCTTCCAAGCAAGAGGAAGGGGAATCACATGACAATGACTGGGTGACTCATGTAGGAAGACACAATGCTTTGTAATTAGATATTTGCTCTACCATACAGTTACATTTGTTTTCTAAAATGGTTATCTCATAAAACCCTTAATTCTGGGCAGTACCCTCATATTCCATTCTTCTGGTTGTAAGGGATTGGTGATAGCTTCTAGCAAGCTTGCAAAACATAGATTCACCTCAACTTGGAATAATCCACATGCCAAAATATGTCTTGGGTAGGACCATTCTGAATATCTTGGGGAGATCTGTCTAAACATCTTGAAGTGATTTGACTTTTATTATGTATGAGAATGTCTCCTTGGATATTCACCTGTTTCTATTGACATTAGTGTGGGTGAATTAATCTGAAATTCTCACTAAGAGCAAGTGATAAAATGTCAGACACAATGAGGAAACATGGCCTGTGTAGTTTTCTAAGGAAGGTTTGGGGAAACCTGCTGTTATGATATTGGTGATATTGGAAGATTGGGGGCCTATACTATACTCATTTTTTCTTAGTTACTGCTCAATCCTTAGTCTTTGTCAGCATAGCTTTTGCCCAATCTATAAATTCACCCCTCACATATTACATACAACTTGGTCCCAAATAGGCACAAATCTGACTATAGTTTTATTCCATTTGAGATTTTAAGTACATTATGATTCTGCTTCATAATTAATTTGTCACATTAATTTATTTTAGGTCCTACATTCTGTACCTAAGTATCCATACTCTGTGTGGTAGATAGATAAGCTGTAAAATAAAATGAAAGCATCTTGAATTTGGATTTTTCTTCCAAACATTTCCTTTTATTTTTTTAATACTAGCTTTATTAGAATGACTCAAGACTTAGAATCGAAAGTGTTATGGTTATGAAGGACTCATAGAAGGAAGTGAAAAAACAAAGATGTGTTTTCCTTTAATGTGTTTTCCTTTAATGTGTTTACATTTAATGTGTTCTCTTTTAGTATTGTGCTTTTACTAAGCCGAAAACAGACACTTGAAGAGTTGAAATACTCAGTACAGCAGCTACGATGCACTGAGGCAAAGTTTACAGCACAGAAACAATTACTAGAGCAAAAAGTACAAGAAAATGATGGAAAAGAGCCACCTCCAGTAGTGAATTATGAAGAAGATGCACGGTCAGTTACATCGATGGTAAGTCAAAGAATAATCAAATGAGAAACATGAAAGAGTAGCATCTAGGTAATAATGAATACAAAGATTAATTCTGGTTTGTTATAACAAGTAATTACTCTTAATAATAGGCAGGTTCTATTAAATTTTTTTGTGAATGCAAAATAGGTTTGTTAGTCCTCTGAGGTCACATGAAAACACTTTTGGGAACTACCAGCAGATGATAAAGTTCTTCTCATAAGAAGAAGATTGATATTTCTCTTAAGATAGACAAAAGCAATTTATTAATTTTTTATTAAATAATTTATTAAAAAAGCAACTTACTAATATTTTTCTGAAGAGCGGTAGAATCTTATTTTGTTAAGATTGATGATGTGTTTATTGTTTTCATGAAACAATACATCGGTTTTATCTAAAAAGATTTTCCTTATAAATATGATCTTTAAACTGCAATAAACACATTCAGATATACCAACTAAAAATTCAACTTATTTTATATAATTTCATTAACTGTTTAAGAATGCTTAGTATCAATACTTTCCATTCCTTCCTCTCTTCCTCTCATCCTCCCTTCTTCTTCTATCCTTCCCTCCCTCCCTTCCTTCATCTTATGTTGGTGGTTCTAACCAAGGAGCGATTTTGCTACTAGGCAGTCTCTGTTCATGTTTGGTTATCACAAAATTTGGGTGCTATTGGTATCTAGTGTAGAGGCCTGTGATGCTATTAAATATTTCACCTCGGATATTTCCTACCCTTCACATTTTCAGTCCCCCCTCCCCCCACCCCCCAAAAAAAAATCCAACACAGTGTCAGTAGTGCCAATGGTAAAATTCCTGAGTTTCCTCTGTGGGTAGCTGGATATATTACATAAATAGAACTTTGATAGAATAATGATGCTATAGCTTATCTTTTAGTAACTTTTAGTTTATATGATTATAAACAGTATAATTTGATTGTTGTAGTTCTTTAACATCTCCACAGGGGGGAAAATTGCATTTTAAATATGTGATAAGAGGGGAAACAAATATAACTTAATTTTTTTTGTTATTAATTGAGCCATTCTATCTATACATTGTATTCTGATTTGTGAGTTACAACTTGTTCTCATTACTGTCCTCCTAAGTAAAGGTGCTAAGTAAATGAATCAAGAACTCTTGTCCATTCCATTTCTTGTTTTGTGTTTCCTGATAACTCTCTGGCATATGTATTCTTTCAGAGGAATTTATGCTGTTTTTCTTTTACTTAGCTTTTGAAAATATTAGCTATTAAATCTTTTGTTCTGAGTGTGATTTACATTTTCTTGTCTCCATGTTGGTGGGAAATTACTTCATAACTTGTTCATCAGCAGATAGGCTAGAACTGTCTAATCTAACTTACTTTAAGTAACTCTTTATGTGCATGACTTGTATTGAAATTATTATTATGAAAGAATAAAACATTATTTAAGGCATTTGATGAAAGGATATCCCCATTTGATAACTATAATTTTAAAAATAGGCTTTTAAATTTAAAATATAAGTTAGTTAATTCTCATTTTATTGAGAATTCATGATCATTTAGACCTTTATTTTTTGTAATTATCAAAAAAACTGTTCAACAATGAGTGAATAATATTTCAGGCAGAATGTATAATGTAGTTTATGAGATCAAACAGATTTCTGGCACTTTTACAGTTTCTCTTATATTTATTAACTGAATTATGGACATACCTTATAAATTTTTACATACTTTATGTTATCCAATTTATTTTAAATAATAATAATACTATTTATGTTGAACTTATCTTTTCTTTGAAACAATACCTTTAGTAAATCTTAGGGATTTACCAATAGGTGTAGTTTAAAGTAATAGACTAATATTTTATAAATCAAATAGGAAATTCCCCAAATTATTGCCAATTATGAGACTTTTACAGTATGTTTTAAAAATAAGTAGAAATATATCTTAATTCTTAAATACACATTTCTTAAAACTTAATAATTTCCCCACATATATCAGGTTTTGCATAACTCAGTATCTTTTAATTATGATATTACTTGTCTAATTTATTAAAAATGGTAAAAATATTAAAAGTTTTGAATTTTCCTCCAAATAACTGCTTAAGCATTGTTTTATAAATGACATTATGAGAAAGCCTGAAATTCACATAAGTACTTCAATTGGTATTTCCTCTTTGTAAAGTCTGTACTTATAAATGGTGAAAATTTCAGCAAGGGATATTTAGCTGAATATGGAAAGATTGGAAAAATTAAGTGAAATTATAATATGTAAAATAGTGAAGGTTTGCCTTTCAACATTATTTGGGAGTAAGAGAGACAGTTGTAATAATAATTATAATTAACTATTCTAAATGTGATTCTAATGAATGGCATTGTTATTAAAACACTGATTTTTCAGTAATGAATACTTTGTGGAAGAATGCCATAAGAAACTGTAACATTGAGATGGCTCATGGATTGCATATTCTTATGAAAATTCCAAGGTGATTCAGATGTTTAATCAGGGTTAGGGTTGTTTAGTCAGGTTCTTAGATGCATAGATTTTTACTTTAGTTCTATGAGAATGAAAATCCATCTATTAATTTATAGGAATATAAGAAACATGTGGAAGCAGATAATACAATCATCTTTGATAGAACAAGTCACCCTTCTATTATCATTTTCCATATGGGTTTAATTTTGGCCCACTATCAAAGATGAAGGGATAAATATTAAAAACTACATAGATACTCTCTGTTATCTATGGTTAAGTATGTTTCATTTATTCATTAAAATATTATCAATCACCTATATATGTCAAACATAATTCTTTACTGATATTTTGGATATATCAGTAAATAAAATGAATAAAATTTCTCAGAGTTTACATTCCCTGGTGAGTGGAAGTTAATGAAAAGTAAGTAATATATTATATCCAAAGATAATAAGTATCTGAGAGTAGGAAGAGAGCTGGTTAAAGGATTGGAGATCTAGTGGGGCAGAGGTTGGGACACAATTTTGAATGCAATTCAGGATAAGCATAATTGACAATGTGACGCATAAGCAAAGATTTGAAACAGGGAGCCAGTAAGGTACTTAATTTCTGGGGAAAGAGCATTCTAGCCAGAGTGTGCATCTGTTACATAGACTGTTAGGAAGGATCATGTCTTGGCTATTCGATACAGTAAGGAGTTCTGAGTCGAGGACAAGGTGATAGTAAAGAAAAAGAAATTAGAGCTGTAACAGGGAACAGATTTCATGGACTTGGAGAACACAATTAAGGATTGTGATTTTTCTCAGTGAAATGTGGAGCAGTTGGTTAGCGGGTTATAAAAGAGGATGGGAATGCTTTAGCTTTTCACTTAAATTGATCACTGTGACATCATGTTGAGACTATATTTATGGGAGCGAGGATGAAAGAATATTATTGTAGTAACTCAGATGATAGAATATAAAAGTTTGAGTAAGGATGGTAGCTCTGGAAAAGTAGCAAGGTATGTTTACCATCTGGATATATTTTGAAGGTTGAGTGCATTAGACTTCCTATGGAATAGAAGTGGGATGTGAGGTTGAAAAGGTAAGGGTGACTCTAGGTTTTTAAGTAGGAGCACTAGAGGAATGGAAATTATTTTGAGAGCATTGAAAGATTACTTTTGTAGAGAAGTTTTGATCTTGGAGGAATAAGACTTCAACTTATCTTTCAAAAAAAGAGGTCAGTGTAGATTTTTAGTTTTGGGTCTTGTTTTTAGGAGTGTGATTTGGACTGGAGATATAAATGTGAGAGTTGTAGGCATCAGATGATATTGAAAATCATTTGATTGTAGGTGGTCATCAAATGAGAGAGGAAAGGAAAAAAAGAAGGAGCAAGGACTGAACCTTGGGGCTCTTTAAAGTTAAAGGGAGGAATTTGTAAGTAAGAGACTTAGAAGGAGTCACCGGTAATATAGTAGAAAATTAAGAGTATTTCTGTCCTTGAAGTGTTACAAGGAGAAATGAGTTACATAATTTGTAGTGTGCTGGTTTAAGCCTAAAGAAACAGTTGAATTAGCTCAAGGATTTTCTAGACTGTTTTAATCAAGTACTCAAGAGGGGAAATATAATATAGAATGCTGTGTCTTTGGAAATATTGACCTGACCATTTTCAGAGATCGTCCTGAAGTGAACACAGTACAACAGAATATACTTTTAGAAATGCTGAAGTAGAAGATATGTTCTCTCTTATCTAATTGGGTTATTGACAGATTCAATGTTCTGATGATTCTGAAGACATCTCAAATTATTTAATCTGTAAACTCAAGTATTTTGCCTTATTCTTCAATTCAGCCTTACAAGGTAGAAGAATTTGACTTCTATGGCAAAAAGGAGGGTTAGCTCTTTGATGGCTGCTCTTGAATAGTGATGAAATTACAAGAATTTCTAATCCCTTAGTAAACATTAACTGGTTTTCCTATTATATTTATTTAAAAAGTCATTTCCCTTCATGTTTGTTTTTAAGAGTCTAGTTATAAAGACATACGCTTTCAATCAATTTCTGTTGAATTAAGGAATTGAACTTCTTTTCATTCCAGAGTAGTTATTTTTGTTTAAAGAATATCCCTTATATGGCAAATATATCTAGATTTTATAACACCATATAATGAGTAAAATATGCTTAGCTCTTCTGCAAGATAATTGCCTTTACTTTGATGTTTTTGAAATTGCACAATTAAAAGAAACTTCTTGCAACATGTAATTATTTTCTCTGCATATCTTACTAAATGCTGATTAGTTGAATAACAATATCAATAAAATCCTTTTCTATTACATTTAAATGAATAGGATATCTGATTTGTTGACTAAAAATTGTCATGATTCAGTAATAATCCACTTTACAGTAATATTCAATGTATTTTCAATTTATAGTTAAGCACTAGAGTGGACTGATATCAATTGAGACATCATATTGTCAACATCATTGAAGTTTTATCTGTTTTCACCATCAGGTACATTTTCTTTCTTTATTCATAAGATAAATGTTAATTCCAGGCTTACTCATCAAATGCA